CGGTTAAAGTTACCGAAAACGAGTAAAATTAATCTTTTTTTTTCATGTGTCGGTGTTGCGACGGTATACAAGAGAGGTAGAAGCTGGTGGAGTTCTTGCATTTCCTGTTTCCTTTGAGGAGGGCAGTCCTATCGAGCAACCGTTGTCCATCTGTGGGGTCAGAAGTGTGTTATCCCAAGGGAAACCGACTACTCAAGTTCTGGTACAGTGGACCAATTGCTCACCAGAAAATGCAACTTGGGAAGGCCTGCATAAGTTCAAACTAACTTACCTTGATTTTCACCTTGAGGACAAGGTGTTATTTGAAGAAGAGGGGAATGACACGTAGCCGGTAGTGGAGTGGCCAAGACGTACATGAAGAGTATCTGTTGTTTCAGCTTGGCAACAAGATTACGTTATGGGTAAAGCTTGAAGAATTAGTAAATGATAAGGATGGTTAGGATTTAAAATAACATTTAGTTTGTTTGGTTTCATTAGTTGATTTGCATTACTCTCGTATTGTTAGGATTTGTTTCAGGATTTAATTAACTTATTTTTCAAGTATTTATAGTATGAATGAAATCACCAATCAGCAGATTGGATTTATCAAATTCTTCTCTTCTTCTTTTTTTTGGAGTTCGTGTTGACTTGAAGAACACAAGAAGGTTCCTAGTTGGTTGTACCAGATGATGGGATATTGGAGATTTTGGGAAGTTCAAAGTGGCGGATACGAGAAGACGGATTGATGCAAAAACTTTACTGGCTATTGATACTCAAACTAAGTGGACTCCAATTAGGACTAATTTAGATCAAATGGGAATCGATGTTCCCTCTATTTATGTCCTATTTGTAATTTGGAACCACTTGAACCATCTTTTTATAAGATGTGAGGTGGCGGTTAAGACGTAAGATGTGATGTTCAAATGGGTGGATGTTAGACCTACAACTTATGATTCGATACAAGGCCTTTTTGATTCAATTGATGTTCCTTTTTTATTCAATTGATGTTCTCCCTTCTCTTGGAAAAGAGGTGGTTATTGATGTGGTGGCGTGTACCACGATATGCACGATATAGTATTTTTAGTGTTTCAAAGTTGATAATTTTTTTTGTTGAGGAAAATGAGAAACGACGCTATTTTTTATTCGATTAGGGGTTTTTTTTTTCTTTGGTTTTGCAATCAAAGTAGTTAATATTTTTTTAAATTGTGTTAGTTGGTCGAAACACCCCTTAAACAATATGTAATTGGTTTTTTGCCCTACTGGCTTACTAGAATGTGATTTTTTTTAATAATATGGTTATTTTAAAAAAAACATCAACATCAACGCCCACTAATAAACAAAAAATCTGTTTTTCTTTTACTTAAAAAAATATTTTTTTTAAGAACATATTTGTCCAGTTTTGATAATATAAATACGTTATCATGTATATATAATTACGAAATTGTGATACATTACTATAACTAGAATAAAAAAAATCATCATTAATATATGAACGTAAAAATATGTTATTATATTGTATAAAATAACGAAACTATTATATCAGAAGTGAATAATATAATATTATTTTATTAATCTACATAAAACATATATAGTATAAAAAGATAATGGAATGAAAGTTATTTTAATCTAAAACTGGTGTTATGAGTTTTGAATCTATCCATCAAAACATATGGTTTCGTGGTGTAGTTGGTTATCACGTCAGTCTAACACACTGAAGGTCTCCGGTTCGAACCCGGGCGAAGCCATTCCCAATTTTTTTCACTAGACTTTTTAAAACCATTACATTTACAGCCCCTAAAGTTTATATAAGTGATCAAACATGCCCTTATACTTGAAAAGCAACAAAAATAGCCTCTTTGAACTTCAAATTCACACATCATAGGCTCTCTCTCTCTCTCTTTTTAACAAAAATTAGTTATCACAATACAATGACTAGAAGACAAATGGGTAACAAGCTGCGCCGTTAAACATTGTTGTATGATAAAACTAATTAATTATTTTGAAGACTACATCCATAGATCTAGGAAATATAACATTATTATCCATGATCCGTTGTATTCTATTAAGAAGTTTCGCCGCGTCCGTTGTGAGGAAACCAAACGTATCAAAGAAGTTAATAAAGACTAAAAAATATCTATAATTTGACATTTTTCCAGTGAACCACAAACATATATCCGATCAGCAAACCCGAATATGATCCATGAACCTGCACTGCAAACCTATATAATCAACACGGATATTTATATGGGTTAAGTTTGGTTAAGTTTTTATAAACTACCAACGTGAACATGACAACATCCTTTACCATCGATTTCCAATTTTTTTTCCAATCCTAAATTACAGCCCCTAAAGTTTATGTAAGTGATCAAAAAGGCCCTTAGCCTATATGAACTTCAAATTTACACATCATAGCCTTTTTGAACTTCAATCTTAATTTTCCAGTCCCCTTCTTTTTACGTGAAATTCACACATCATAGCAATATATTAATATTTTTAAAAAGGAAAACTCTGAAAAAAATCAATATATTATTCTTTAATGAAAAAAATAAAAACTTACATATTATCCTTCAAAGAAGTTTCTATTTTTTTTCAACCTTCAAAAATTACATACCGTAAAGTTTATGTAAGTGATCTAACAGGCCCTTAGACATTGAAAAAACAAGTTAGCCTTTTGAACTTCAAATTTATACATCATAAACTCTTTGAACTTCAAATCTTAATTTTCTAGTCCCCCTTCTTTTTCATCTGTGCCTGAAAATCAAGCATTATGGCCTATAGTTTAAATCTTTAAAGCATGACACTCTAGGAAACACATATAAAAGCCATTCTTGAAAAAAAATAAAAATAAATAAATAAATAAATAAAACTCAATATGATATTAGTAACAACTATATTAATCTTATTATTAAGATTCCCAAAGGAAAATTTTGGAAAACTCTATTATCTTTCAATGAACAAAAAAATCATTATATTATTATTTGTATAATAAAACCATTCTATGGTATGAATTTTTGATCATGCCTAAAATAATGATTTTTAACTGACAAACCCTTGAGAGTAGGTTAACTAGGACGTGTTTGGCACAAAGTTTTTGGAAACGTTTGAGAGTTTCTAACTTTTAGCTTTTGACAAAAAGTTCTAGTTTAAACAAAAAGTTCCGTTTGGCACTTTGGCTTTGGCATTACGAACGTTTACTTAGTTTAAACAAAACGTTTCAAATCTAAAAGCTACTTCATGTAGCGTTTAACAAAACACTACTGAGCTTTTGAAACCAATATATATATATATATATATATATATATATATATAGATATATATATATATATATATATATATATATATATATATATATATATTTTACAGTCATCCTTTTATATAATTTTGCATATTTCAAAAACTTCCAACTACTTTTGTCAAACACGCATTTAACAAATAAAAGTTACAACTTTCAACTACCAGTTACCCACTACCAACTATATGCTACCGACTACACACTACCAGCTAACAATTAGTTTTGCCAAACATGCCCTTAGTTTATATGGCTTTAGAAAAATATAGTGTATTATCCTCAAATATGCGAAAACTTATTATATTGTTATTGTGTACAATAAAATTATTTTATTTTCTAATCAAACCCAAAATAATACATGGGAACCAAAAAAGGAAATGACATTATATTTTTTAAGCTTACTTGGAAATCATAAATGAATTTCTAACCCAATCCACTAGCTATTGATTGGTTTTTTCAGGGGTTTCGAAAACGTTATGATTTGTTTTGCAGCAAGATTTGAGCTAATGAATTTTCTCAATCTTCAATGGTAATCTCTATTTTGTCTTCATCGTGTACTAATACGAACCCGCCACCAAAAACCAAAAAATATCGGATAGAACCTCTAATTTGAGAAATAGGGGATCTTCCAAGAGTTTAAAACTCAAATACTATTATTCATGATGATCAAAATACGATACGAAAACCCTATAAATAAGTGTTGTCCGATAACCGTATCCAAAATAAAAGATACTAATAGATATCCTAGTTTTAAATAAAGATAACTTTTACATATAACATAAATAAATAAGTACTAATTAGTGGATGTTGTTGGCCAAATTAAAAAGTTGTATCATTACTCCCCTCCCAAAAAAAAGCACTTTGTCCTGAAGATGGAAATTTGGGTTCTACAACTAAGTATTGTTGAAATTGTTTGGCATCTCCTAGCTCTTCATAATTTCCTATCCCATCATCATAAGATACTAACAAAACTTGGAGCATACGATTGGCGCACCCATACCCATGCCTGAATCTTTCATCGCATAAAAAACATAACCCTTTCGACCTCTTATCTTGCAATTTTGTCTTCGTTAACCTTCAGACTTGGTCACCCAAATTAACACTTGTCTCCACCAATGTCTCCACCAGACCCTACCAGAACGTGAAAGAACCCAGCTCACAAGGTTTTCACCACTGGTGGTGGGAGAAGAGTAAGATTTGTATGATATGAAGAATTGAATAAAACATTAAGATAAAATGAGCAAAAAAAAAATGAGGATAAATAATCAAGAAAGGAATAAATCTTTAGTTTTGCTTGCTATTGATTATATTGACTGTTCCATTTCATGGTTTATTTTTCTTTATGTCATTTGTATCACTGAATGTGTTTGCTTTTTCTTTTTCTTTTTTGTCATTTTTTGGTGGAAATCAAAATACCTTGCAGAGAATATCGTTATAGATAAATAGTGGCACGGGACTGGAAGCATTTCCATGCTCGATAGAATGTCAAACAAAGATCGACACTTCTCCTCCAGATTGTAAGTTAACATGATCTTTATTAATAATGAATTTTGGTTTTAAATTTCCAGTTATGAACAAATAAATGATGGGGTAAATTACATTTTTTGTCCCTATGGTTTGTTGAATTGTATGGATATGTTCAGTAGTATGATTTTTTTTTTTTTTTAATTATGGGTCCCTAAAACATTGTTTTGTCACTCTTTCAGTTCTTGAACTTTTAACTTAACGGCTCAGCTGTTGAGTTCTTAAGAATTGACCATTTTGCCCATATCTTTTTCATCATAAGGTTTGAGAAGCCTATTTAGAATCAAAACAAATCAACCCTTTTTGTCTTGTTAATGATCAACCCATTGCAACCTAACCCTTGAAAAAGACATAAATAAACCTAAAGCCTAAACAGGGGTTTCTTTGGGAAATTCCACAAATCTGAAAAAAAAATATGCTTTAAAATGAAAGCGGGATGCTGTAATTTCAGAGAATCTGAGTTCATTTTGTGGCATTTAACAAGGAAATTTTGAAATTTCGAAAACTGAACAAAATCATTTTCAAACACACAGATCAAATAAACTTAACTTAAATTACAATTAATGTATGATATTGATAAGAAATCACAATCTTACAAATTTAATCTTCATGTGTTCATGAGCAATGGTGTATTGCTTGAAACCCCACACTGTCTGATTGTTGTTGGCCTATGGTCAAATGTGATTATGTTGGCCACGGCATTAATTGTAAGCAAGTTCAATAAGAAGAAGTTGATTCAGGATCAATTGACAAAATAAAGTATATAATATTCACAGAATTTGCATTAAACAAATGAAATTTTTATTGCATTATATATCTATACAATTTACAAATTGTAAATTGATTGATTTGGTTTTAAACAAAAATATTATATGTAGATGTTAATCTGAAATAAATGAACGTTTATGCCATTTATTACAGACCTAAAAATAACATAAGAGTTTACTTTAGTAAATTATATTTATGAAACAGCTAAGATAACTAATAGATTAATTGATTATTAACAGTCGGAAAGAGCATGTCGATACCCTTTTCGTGAGACAAATCAGCACCATAAACATCATCATCATCATCATCATCATCTGTTGTTGTTGGTAGCCATAGCCATTGCTTCTTCAATGCTTCTGATGACGATACTGAGAGTGGCACCGCTTTCCAGAGCTTTAACAGCCGCTTGATGGGCATGTTTATGCCATTTCAATAGATTGTAAGACTGCAGAACCGACCACCTTGCTTGATTTGACATCTATTTCAACACAACAGCAATTAAAAAATTTTAAAAATAAAAAAATAAAAAAAAGATCCAAGATCTTACCTGTGCAACGGATAATGGTGGTTCCAAAAGCAAACAAATGCTCCTAAATAGATTTTCATCATTCTCTCCCCCCTCAGCCTCTCCATACACAAGAGCTTCTGCTGCTATCCCACCAAATAGCACCATGCAGTATCTATCTCAATTCTCAACAAAATATTAAAATTTGTCAATTAGACACACAGCAATAGCATAAGAAAAGAATACCCACCTGTCAAACGCAATGCCACTGAGTCGGCCCTCAGCAAGCTCGTTTTGAAGGTTCTCATCCCAAAACTGTGTCCCTGCCTGCAATGCAACTCACACACACTAATTAATACCACTCAATTTTCCAATTTTAACTTTTTTATTATAAACCCATAACTGCCAGATATTACCTGCCCTTGAATCCCCATCTGCATTGCAACAATAGGATCCAAAATTATTCCACGAATGGGGCATCCCATGAGATAAGCTGCCATTTCATAATGGTAAGTTAGTCTAATTGTCTATTGTCTATAATCCAATCCCAACCATAGATTGCCCAAATCGATTGACTCACAAACAAGAAGATGTCCTGCTTCATGGACAAGAATGCGCCTCTTGTATGGAGGCCAATAACTTGATATTTGGGCTAGACAAGAACCGCCAAGAAATATGGAGTCTACCATGGCTGAACCCAATATTACTGCCAGTTGAGGTCTTAGATCGATTCCATGGTCTATCAGATATGATAATCCAGCAAAACATGCGATCAGAACAGCACTAGAGCTTCTAGAAAGACCCCACTTCTTTGGTGAAAGTTTCGAAACTGTAGAATCAATTGCAACAATAAAGAAACCAATGCTGATTTAATTTTTATTTTTTAATCGACATGATCGATACCTTCTAAACCAGTTGAAGATTCCAAAACGGTTGGTGTAACATCTCTCGGTCCCTCCAGAACTGCGGATTTGCGGATTAATAAATAAGTAAAGTGGTAATATAATATTAACAAATCTGGAATAAATAATAGGGGACTAAGATGGAGTGGAGTGTAAGGAAATATTACCAATACTGCGATACTTGCCGAAATAATTCAAGAAGCCCTTGTCCTTTAAAAAAGCATAAGCAGTACCAACAAGCCTCATATCATCGGCGTTTAAGCATGTATCCAATACTTGCCAATCCCTCTGCAACTCCAGCTCTCCCAAACCCAAACCTTGTAATGGAATTTCCTGGAGGAAACGAAGGGCTCGACCAAGATCTTTCTCTTTAACGGCTTCCTCATACTCTCTCCATTCTGTCAGCGCGGCTCTGGTTGTGATGCACCGTAACCGTAACCGATGGCTGCTTCCGCATGGATTAACTGGAAATAGTTCCGAGTAAAAGAAGTTAATCGTCCGCGAGAGGCGGCAACATGGGTGTCTTTGTAAGGGAATAAGAGGCGCCGATGGAGTACATCGGGAAAGAATCAACATCGGAGCTCAGTTGTTGTCAATTCAACTGAATGATCTGGAAGCAAAAAAGGGGAGGAATTTTAACCTTTCTATTGGACTAAAAAGTGTTGATTTAGTTTTTTGAGCTTTCAGAAAAAACTTAGAACCAAAAAAAAAAATTACCTTGGGAGTTTCTCGTTTCAGGAAAAAAAAAATGTTAGAAGAAAAGAAAAAGTTTTTTAAACAAAAAGTTTTAAATTCATTTAACAAAAAGGTTTTTAAAATTTTAACAACCCACTTAAATACCTTTTAAAATAAATAAAGAATATCCACATATTTGGTAATTATCTTATATAATTAAATCTAAATATATTTTAATGATGATGATGTATTTATTTGAAACAAAATATATCTTATATGATTAAATATAAACAAATGTTCTGGACCATATTCATGTATTTTCTATTTGTAATCTAAACCTTATTATAGTACAATAGTCATTACTATTACTTAATCGTAGTTTAGGTTAAAAGAGATGACACTTTTCAAGGTTGGCATTCATTTATTTCAAAGTAACGTCCACTTATAACCTTTGTTTATATCAATCAACTTATAGTTTATGAATTTTATTGAAAATTTAGTACAATAAAAATTCTCGCTTAATGCAAAATCTGTGAAATAAACTTAATTTTCTCAATTATCCTAAATCGGCTGGTTTTTATTGAAACATGTCTTGAAATCCCTTACAAGTTACAAGTAATGTCGGCCAACGAATCACATGTGACTGGTAGGCCAACAATCATACAAAGTCATTTTTTCCATTAATGTTTTAATCTAACATAAGTGAAAGAAAAGTTATACGTGCGTTTGGTTGTAGAAAATTTTAAAAACACATTTGGTTCTTTCAGTTTTCTAAGAAAATGAAAATTTTCATTTTTCCAAATTAAACGTAAATTGGAAAAGTGGTTTTTAATGTTTTTCTTACATTTCATTTTCTAAATTTTTCTAAAATATAAACCCTACCACACATCCATCCCTCACTTACACCCTCAACCCAATACCCACACCCACCTCTATCCTACCCCACCCCATACCCATACCCACCTTTACCCTACCCTACCCCACCCACACCCACACTCATCCTACATTAATCCCTACATCTACCTCAACGCCACCCACCACCACCACCACCCTACATCCACCCTAAGGCCGGCTTTACTTCAATAAAAATTAAGCAAGGGTTTAGGGCCCCACTTAACCCAAATATCCATTGGTGATTCTTCATTCGGTATTCACGTACGCCACAAAAGAAAACATCAACCAAGCGACTGCCGACTCTTCTTCTTCCGATCTTCCTTCTCCGCTTCTCTTTCTCTGATTCTCCATTCTCAACAGAAGCAATCATTACCAATCTATAATATCGATTGAACACTGTGGTGGATCATTTGTTAAGTTTTTTTCATTTATGAATTATGATGTGGCTATAAATTTTGTGGATGCTCTAGTAGTCTAGTTTGTATGACAATATGTTCCATTTTCAACAATATGGTGTAAACATGATGTTCTTGTTCTATGAAGGAACATCTATCTTTGAACTAAATGTGTAGTACATTACCATTAAATCAGGTTCGGAACTAAATATGTAGTACATTACTATTGAATCAGGGTTTATAAAATTAAATATAGTAAATGCCAAAAGGCCCTAAATTTTTGGTTTGCTTAGAGCCCCCAAACTGGTTGAGTCGCCCCTGATCCAGCCCCACCCTACCCTCACCCCACATCTCACCTCCACGCACAACATCCCATCCCACCCTAATCCTTATGTCCACCCCACCTTATATCCTCATCCTCACCCACTCCCACAACATCATCAAAGATGTTTGCAATCTTAATATCATAATAGTAATAAAATTGACTTATTTGAAAATGTTTTTTTATGTTTACTTTTAATTATACGTTAAAGTTTATGTTAATAATCTTATATTAAAACTTTGTTTTATATTTTGATGACATGTGTTTAGTATTGTAACATCTGGAAAAACAAAAAAATAGAAAATGAAAAGTGATAGAAAATGTACAACCAAACACGTCTTCTAATTTTCTAAAAGGGAAAATGAAAAGTCCACTAGTTTCAACCAAACGCGTTTTCCAAAATTTTCAATGAAAACTCAATTTTATTTTTCAAAAACGTTTTATAGGAAAATGAAAACAATTTTTCACAACCAAACACATCCTATATTATTTACAAAATACATTTACAAATCATGCATCACAGCTGGAAGTTCATTACTGGATAAAACAATACGATCTTCTAAACAACAAAAATTTTATATTGTGCACAATACCAACAACACATTACTTCAGGAAGAACGTCAGCAAATAAAATAACTTGTTGCAAGTGTTCCTTTCCTTTTCTATCGTGGACTCGTTTCCTTACGTTATTTGATATTTCAACTGGTGGACTTAAATTTGTATCTATTCTCCTATTAATTTTTGCTTTTTCTCCTATCATGATTTCATCTGAATTGGCTAAATTTTCTCCTATCGAATCATTTAGTCTTCCTCTTTTGTTGACGAATTGGATATTTGTAGTGGATTTCTTTTTTATTTTATTTCATATCCATTTTGTAATCGTTTGTCTTATGTATTGTTTCTTATATCCAAAAGCATTATGAATCATTTCTAACTTCTCTATTAAATCATTACACTTGTCACTCTATTTTCCACTCTTCAATTCATGTTTACATCAACTGTTGTTGTTAGTTTGTTACTTATTAGCTTAAATTTGATGGTTTAATCTCTTATCACAAATTTTATTATAACTTTCATGATATAGATTAATGATTGAACTTTTTTGTAATATAAGGCATTCGTATTATTTTTCGATATGACTATTACTATTGGTGGTGGTGTTGTATTTACTCCAAGATTCTCTTTTGTATAATCATTAAGGATGATGTGTGTAACAGTGAAGGCTTAAAAAATCCCAATAATAAATTGGGTGTCGAAAGGTTTTTGATATTTTTTGAGTGGCTGCGTAGAATTTCAAACTTGGTAACCAGTAAGTACCCCTTATCTTCACAAGAATATTAAGAATAATATTTCTTCAAGCTATCATGTTATCTTGTGAAGGCTGTTTCAATTGTTAAAGGTGCTAGCATTTGATTGGAATATTGACCGTGATTGTAAGTTATTAGTTATTCTGTTCATTATGTGCCAGGGAGTAGAATGGAGAATTTTGGTGAAAATGGGTGATTGAGAAATAAGTAGGGAAGCTGCTGTGTAAGTATGTGATTTGCTCAGTTGAAGTATTTGTGATGAAAATGTCATTGGGTTTACATGTTGAGCATACCATCAAGAACCTTTTGTCCTTCTCATGTGGGTTTTATTTTGTTGATGGGGGTTGATTTGCATTTGGCCGGTTATTTTAACATGACAATCTTGGTTTTTTTTTTTCAATATGTCAATTTTGAAACATCATTCATATCATGTTTGACACAGGGTCGACTATTGACATGTCAGAACAAGAGGAACAATCCTTTAACAGTTTAATGGAAACGGGAAAGTGACATTAAATATATAGCAGAAGTCTAACCTTCGTTGAAGAATCTGGGAAGATGAATCAATCCTCAGTCGACAGAGATGAATTAGGGTTTTGTTGTGTGGATGATGTACTCGATGTTCCGTATTCAGGAATTCGGTAAGATCAATCATTGATCAGGATTTTTTTAATGAGTGGATCGGTCTTTGGATGTGAAGAATGTGAAACGGTATAAGAGAGGGAAAAAAGATATGTTTGCGTCGTTACGGAGATGGGTTACGTGGCCTGAAGCGAACCATCTAAAGTGGATGTAGGAGGCAAACCAAATTTCGTTGTGTTATCGGAATATATGGAAGCAGATATTACGCTCAATTAGGGTAAGTTTTACAGAGTAGGAACTTCAAATTTCCAATTAAAAGACTACAATCATTTAAGAGTTGAAATGTGAATCAGTATACTAGATATCCGATATCTCTCGCTTCCTATTTTTTTTAATTCGTACGTATACATTCATCAGTTCCACTGACATTATGATTGATTACTTATTTATCAGGATACCAATTTCAAATGGGTGATGCTAATAAAGGTTGGATCATGACTCCCAATTTGTGGAGTTAGTGGTTCAATCATTTTGAAGAACCAATGATGACGAACATAGAAGAAAACACCTACAGAGAAGAAGCAAGTCAAAGAGCAAAATGGATTTAGTTTATGAAATCGACTCAACTTCTGAAAATCGATTCAATTTCTGAAAATGATTCATGACTCTAATACCATATTACAGTTTAGGGAAGAAAAACATTTGATGGAGAATCAATTATAACAATTACTGAGTAAGTACAAAATATATACAAGGGAATTTTAGTCGTATTGTTTTGTCGAGTTTCAGTTTCAAGGTTCAAGTTTTGTTTCTCCTTCATTTTTGTTCTTGTCATTTGTTTAATTTCTATTTTAATGTAGGTCCATATAACAAAATTTGTTTCCACAAAACTAAAGTTTATTATTGAGAAAAATTCATGGGCATAAGTTACACTTCATTTTTGAGAAGAACATATCGTGTGAATAATGGATATTCATCTAGTTTCAAAACGAAAGTAATGTTCCAACACATTTATATTCCAACTCTTTTATCTTCTCATGTAACAATTGAGATGCTTCATTTTTTAGATACAACCATGATTATACACATCAAAGATTGGGAGTTTAAAATACACAGCTGTTAAAAGCTCTTCTTTTATAACATATCATAATACATGGTAACGATCCAAATCAAGAAAATGGTACATATTATTATTATTATTATTAAAAGCCATGGGGAAGGGTGGGTCTAGAGATCAATTTTGGCTGCTAAATACCATGAATGCATTGCAAGACTACCAAAAGACATGATGTTAGCTAGAGATGAGAGTCCATGAATCATCCCAAACTTCTTGTTCATTGCTGATAGCTTTGGGTTAACCTTTGCAACCTCCTTGTTCTTTGTCCACCCAACTTCTTCTCCAATGTTTGACTCTCTCTCCAGCTTGTGCCTTTGCTTCATCATCTGCATCCACAAAATTTGTCTCTCAGAAAACAATAGTCTTTCCATCTACATTTGTCTACATCTATTACTTACTGTGTCAGTGTGTGATGATGATGATGGATTTGTCAATGTCACTAAAGCAAATTTCCTTTAAAGAGAGATGTGTTCCTAATGCACTTATCATACCACAGGGGCGTGGACACTGGACAATCAATAATCAGAATACTATCTCACAGCTCATTATGTAATTTATGTATTGTTCAATACCATTAAATCACTGTCAAACACATTTTCAAAGAAGAACATTAAACATAGAGCTAACTGCATGAGAACTAATATGCCAGTGGCTCCAGCTACAGCTATATCATAATCTACCGAAAGGTAAGGTGCTATTGAGATTAGGTATAGGCATGAAATGATAGTTGAAGTTACTTACCTCAATGGTCATGGGAGTAAAGACAAAAAGATTGGTGAGATTGAAGACAAAAGCAGAGACCAAAAACCCAAGCTGATACTTCTCAGCAGTTGATGAAGACTTCCATGGATGTGTATAACCAAAACAACCCACCGTCACCGCACAGCATATCCCAACCATCATAAAGTAGGCCGGAAACATCTTGCTTTGCAGATTCCCAAACTGATGCCTTGGCAAATTCCTATGGAAAATTGCTCTTTAAGTTATTAATTTCGAAAACCTAAGGTCGACTCCGAGCTAGGGCACACGCTCATGTAAAATTTCAAAACAACATGAACATAAAAACGAAGTTTGGGGGACCTAAACTTTTCATGTGCAAGTTTGGTAAAATAATTTAGTTTTGAAAACTTATAAGGTATGTGCCAATCAAATCGAGAAGAAGGAATATTTACTTGAACATGATGATGCCGCCGATGAAGGTGACCCAAAGAGCTGCGCCCCAGGCGGTGGAGAAACATAGGAGATGTGCAAGTTTGACGAACGATGTGATTTTTGCTGATTTTGATCCGAACGTTTCCGGCGAAAATATGACTCCGATTGCCAAGAAGGCAACCGCTGTGAGAAATCGTGTCATCCAAGCCATGATCTTACTAACTGACTGAAGTTTGTGAAATGAATTGAATAGATGGAAATTTACACAAAATGTAATGTGAAGGGTAAAAGATTAAACCTCACCTAACACTCAGCTGGGGGGGTGCTAATTGCTAAGCCAATCGTAATAATACATACCATCGGACCTTACCTGCCGAGATTTTGCTAAAATGCCCCTAAAGTTTTTCAGGCTTACATCAAACCCCCCCTTTCTCTCTCTTTGGCCTTGTTGGTTAAGTAGCACAAGTTAAAATATGACGACCGTTTAATTGTTTCAAAAGTGACTATTTTTTTTATGTGATAACGTAACTAACTATATCTTTTGTATATATTTGGTCACTTAATTTTTTTTTGTGCACTGTTAACTATTAAACTTATTTTTTTTGTTTAAAATATACCATTATGACCGGTTTCCGACGTCTTTTCCGGCCAAGTATGATTTTTCGGTCATCTTCTCCGGCCAAAATAGATTTTCCGACGAGTTCTTGAAACATTTTTCAGAATTCTTCTTTCTCTCTTTCTCTCACTTTCTTATCTTGTGTTTCCAGATTCGTGGGTTTTTGTAAGGTTCGATTTAGGGTTTCTTCAAAAACAAAATTCTTCATCAGATGTGTGTTTGAGTTAAACTCGGTGAAGATAAATGGGTCTAGAAACGAGACCTGAAATCCACCATATGTGAACTCGAATGGGTCTAGAAAGCAGTGGTGGTGGTGGTTTTCTCGAATGTAGAAAACGAAGATGGTTCTGATAATTGAGGTTGAAGACGAAGGAAGAGGTGGTGGTGCTTGATGGAAGTTTTTTCAGGTTCTCGTTTATAGAACCCTTAATCTTCTTCGAGTTTAAACCCTTCAACACATATTTGGAATCGATTTTGTTTTTGGAACATACATCTGAAATCAATTTTTCTTTTGATGAAGAAACCTTAACAAGAATCGAACTCGATTTCAGATCTCGTTTCTAAACCCATTCATCTTCATTGATTTTAAACCCTTCAAACGAAATCAATTTCAAACACACTTATGAAATCGATTTTGTTTCTGATAGATAATTTCAAACAAACATATCAAAACGAAATCAATTTCAAACACACAGATGAACAATTTTGTTTTTTGAAGAAACCTAAATCGAACCCTAACTCATTTCTGGAACCAAATCGAATCTGTAACCAAACAAAGAACCCGCGAATCTAGAACCAAATCGAATCTGGAACCAAACAAAGAACCCACGAATCTGGAACCAAATCGAAGTTTGAAGGTTGAACTCGTCGGAATCTGAAAACAAAAACCCACGAATCTAGAAACAAAATATAAAAGAGAGAGAGAGATAGAGAGAGAGAAGAAGAAGAAGAAGAAGAAGAAGAAGAAGAAGAAGAAATCTGAAAAATGTGTCAAGAACTCGTCGGAAAATCTATTTTGGCCGGAGAAGATGACCAAAAAAATCATACTTGACCGGAAAAGACGTCGGAAACCGGAAAAACCCTCTATTACCGGTCATAATGGTATATTTTAAACAAAAGAACAAATTTAGTGGTTAACAGTGCTCGAAAAAATGTGAAGTGACCAAATATGTATAAAATATATAGTTGATTACCCCCTCAAGTTATTATCCATATTTTTATCTTCTTGTTATTTAGAAAATGTAAATGTTCTTTAAAAAAACATCAAATTCAAATTATTTCAATCTATTCCATCCAATCCTGGCTTATGTTTCAAAAACAACCATATAGTCTTGGACAGTTTATATCCCTAATTCCCTAAGACAACCGGGTGTGGGCAACGCGGAACCCGCGTTATCTTACGTGGCAGAGCGCTTAACGGCGCCATAACGGGAAACACCGCCCCAGCCCCACGTTATTGCGCGTTACGCCATCAGGCGTTACCATGGTAACAAGTCATAACGCCAAAACTCACCGCCAATATTTGACCGTTGCATTTTTGTCCCGTTGAAAAACGGTAATATTACCGTTGTTTGATATGAAAAAAAAATTACTTCTTAAATTTTCTGTAACTATATCAACATACACACACACACATATATATATATATATATATATATATATATATATATATATATATATATATATATCATTTTATTCACTTCAATTCCTCTATTCTATATATATCTCTATTTCTCTATATCTATCTCTATTTCATTCAAAACAAAGTAACCACTATGGATCAAAACCCGAATACCCCTCCTCCGAAGACAAACACATCGACTCCATTAGGTTTTGCGGGATATGAGGGATACATGAACCTTCTAAACTCCTAAAACTCACCACAAATTCCATATTCGAGCAATTTTTTCAATCCCGCCTCACCGCCAATACAATTCCCTACCTCACCATTTGTGCAACAAAATGCAAACATTCAACAAAACATTTTTAACACATTCGGTCCCATGCGCCAAACAGTCACACAACCCACACCCACGCAAGAACCCGTTGTCAAGACGCAAACCGGGGGTAGTCAGAGAGCAATCGGGAAAAAAGGGAGACCAAAAAAGAAAGGGAAAGAGGTTGTTGTCGGGACAGATGAAAGTCATGAAACGGAAGCACCTCCAACATGGTGGACACCGGAGGAAGAGCATGCGTTGGCGGAGGCTTGGTGCGGTACTTCAAAACAACCAACTATGGGGAACGATATGAAGAGAGTTGTTTTTTGGGATGCCGTAATCGTCAAATTTCGCACAATTTTGAACAAGGGTGACACATATCGCAATAATGATATGCTTAGTGGCAAATGGACTCAAATTAGTCGGAAGTGCACCAAATTCAATTCCATATACAACAAACTTTCTTGTCAACGTCAAAGTGGTGCCAATGATTTCGATGTGTTTAGAGCCGCGAGGGAGGAATATCACGTGCAAATGGGGCACGTATTTGAGTATGAAAAAGTATGGGACATAGTGAGGAAAGATCCAAAATGGATAAAAACGCCAACATCATCGGAACAACAATCAAAGAGGTCTCGTGGTTCGGGTTCGGTTGACGTTTCCGACGGACACATGAACATCGACCTCAACGCGGACACCGATGAGATCCCGGACGAGTTTGATGACATCGAGGAAATCTCTCCGCCACGACGACCGATGGGGCGCGACAAAGCCAAGCGCGCGCAACGACATGCGCAGGAGAATGAAAGTCGGCTTCGAGAGCACGACGAAATGAAAAAAAAAAATGACTCCCACACGGAAATCGCAAATAAAAGATATGAATTGCAACGGGAGCATTTGGATTTCCTTCGTAAAGAAGCCGAAGAAGGTCGTATATCGAAGGATTTGGCAATTCTTACGACAAACGAAGCAAATTTACCACTGAGACGAGCTGAAGTGATACGGAGGATGAAGGCAAAGATCGAGAGCAAATACTTGGGCGAAGAATAGTTTGTTGGTGTTTTTTTTTTAAATTATTAGGACTATCGTGTGTTTTTTTTTCAATGTTTTTTTTTTTTTTTGGTTTGTATGGTATTTTTAATTTACTATTTAATGAAATTATGTTTTATTAATTTATATGTTTTTTTTATAGATATATGACATAAATAAAAAAAACAAATTAGAAATATATGAAGTAAATAAAAAAAATAAAACAAATTAGAATAATAGAAATTAAAAACATTAAAAAAAAATAAAAAAAGAAATAGAAAATACAATGTGTTATCTCATGTTATTTGGTGTTGCCAATTTCCACATTTTGTGTTATAACACCAAATTGTGACTAAGATGATGAGGTTGACAATTTGGGTGTGATAACATGTAATAACATGTTGCCCACACCTAATAGTCTAATGTCTTGATCTTTTCATTTTACTTTGTCACTTCCATCTATTTGATAATTTGAACATGAACTAGAGTTTATTGGACATGCTCATCGAGGAGATAAAATTAAAGAAAAGCAGAAATATTCGCACCCTTTATGACTATAATTGTTATATCTGGGAATTATCGCTACTATAAATGATAATACAAATATTGTCAGGGGGTAGCGGGGATCTTATAAACAATTGGCCCTGGTGGTCAAAAATGGAGTATAACGACGGGCGATCTTCTAGAAGACAATGTCATACTACAATTTCTACAATCAGGGGCGTTTGGATTCGAGTTTAAAAACAATTTTTGTTTTCTTTCTTTAATAGAAGTGTTTGGCTAATATCACAAAATATATTACTGGTAATTGCATATCAGGTTTAACTGATTGTCAAATGTTAGTAAAAAGGGAGTATAAACGACGGTTGATCTTCTAGAAGACAAGGTCATGTTATTTTGTTTGAAAAAAAGTTTTTATCAAAATAGTTAAAAAAAATAAAAAATTAAAAAATTAATTCAACTTTTATTTATCTTAAATGTTTTTATAAGCTCACTCCTATAGTTTATTATTTACTAACATAGGTTATATTTTTGAAGAAAAAAATATTACTTGACATTATAATTAAAATAAATAGAAACATTACAATGCGAATATAAAAACTTTACTCCATAAAATTTCCACCTATGTAATTAAGTTTAAAAAAATGATAAAAGACTGTAACCGTAATATCTCTTTTATAATAGAGAAATTAAATTGTCTCCTGCTATTTCTTCCTACTAATATACCTACCAACTAAAATTATGTCATTTGTCATCAATATTTCATCTCATCTAATTTAATTTGATATTCCTATAATGCCCTTAACGAGGTAATTGAGAAAAAATAAAAAAAAAATATATCACTTAAATCTTCAATCATCGTTCGTTTCTAAGCCCTTCTTCTCATCAACTTCAGTCGACATTCACTTCAATCGACATCTTCAATCGCCGCTACAAGGTCTTTAATCGCCACCGCCAATCGCCGCATCTTGATCTTCAAACGACACTGGAACAACATCACCCGATCTTCTGTCGATCCTCGTTCGTTTCTAAGCCCTTCTTCTCATCAACTTCGGTCAACATCCACCTCAATCGTCGCTACCATTAGCGGAGCTTTATTAGGGCAGGAGGGGGGGGGGGAGGTTGTGGCCCCCTCTGATTTTTTGTTAGAAATAGTCCTTATAGTTTCATTTTATACATTTTAGGCCCAAAAATATAAAATTTTGGATATGCCCCCCCCCCCTCGAATCAAATGTTGAAGCTCTGCCCCTGGCCGCTACCTGGTCTTTAATCGCCACCGCCAATCGCCGCCTCCTGATCTTCAAACGACACTGAACGTTGTGACAACCCGAAATTTTTGTGCTT